ATTCTGGACTTTTTGAAGTTCTTCGTGTAATATTTTTGGGAATACTTCGAATTTTTCGGGCCTTCTCAGAATTCATTTTTTGTATCCAGTATTTAATGAATCCGAAAATACTAAGTGCTTTTGTACCCTCGTATATAGGTAAAAGTACATAACTAAATACTTTTCTACTCAGTAGTTAGTTCTGTGAAAATAAATCAGAAAAAAAAATACCTGAGTGGAAGATCGACCAATCTCGGCAGCCAGTTCGAAAACGCCCTATTTCAGAATTTGGTTGAAGAACGCCCTATCTCAGACCTCGGTTTAAAAAAGCCCTATCTCAGCTGCTGACTGCGACAGCTTCTGGCGGGACTGCACCTTTTTTATGTCACTGCTTAGATCGATTGTGATTAGTCCTAGTTTCGCCTCCCATAAAAAAAAATCGGCTCATGAATTCCTTCTATTCTATTATGGCTAGTGGGAATTAGGCGTTAGTGAGTAATTTTTTGAATTCCCATTGTGACATCCACCACCTAGAGACATAGAACACAATGCTATGCATTTTCTTTTTTTTTTAAGCTTATTAAATTAAATTCGGAAAACATATTTTGGCCAATTATCATAAACATCTTAATATTTCTTCCCACAAAAACCTTAATTTTTTTTTTTGCAAAATCAGTTTCGCACGCTTGAACGGTTCGTGCTTCTTCAGCTGACCAGTTTGTAAAATAAGTCGTAAAATGTATTTGCACGTGTATGTTATTAAGAGTTCATTTAATACCCACATATGTATGATGTTAATACACAAAATAAAAACCGCTTCGAGCACTTAGTGATTGATTTGTGAAACTAAAGCCTTCCACTAAACCATGACAAAATAAATATCCATTAAGATGAATTTACTCAAGCGTTGTTAGTTACATACGGATGGGTGAACGCTTTAAAATAAAATAAACATTTATTGATTAATAATACATATATTTAATAAAAAAAAAAGTTAGTAAACAAATATGTAATATGAAATTTCCCCTTGAACGCTTCATGAATTTGCATAGGAATAACTTTAAATTAATAATACTAGGTGTTATATGATTAAAATGATTATAAAACGATTGATTCTAAGTCTCAATTTTCTACGTCACTAATATAATATTATTATAAAGATATGGAAAAAAATTTCGAAGTCAAATATTCAGTGGTGCGCTTTTTATGGTATTTTTGAGGTTATGTTTGTATGCCTTAAAATAAATCGATCACGCCATTTTTCGTATTTTTCTTGATTTATGCCCCTAAAAGTTAAATATGAAAAATTTAAGCCCCGTGCCAACTCCTGGCTTCTCCTAAATTCCATTTCAAATATTTGTAAATATTCATAAATAAATTTAAAAGTGAGAAAGTTGCATTTGAATTGCTAATTCTTTTTTCGCACTAGTTAGATATATTTTTTTATATTTTATTTTGCTCAATGGTTTTTCCACCCATAACAATTACCTACTTACAAGTTACATATTTAAAACAAACTTGTTTAGAATGTAATAAAAATATGCAATGCACTCTTAACTTAATATGCATTCATCATCTTAACACACATACATATGTACATATTTCTATATGAATGCATTTATTTTATTAAAATTTCCATTTTCAAAATTCTATTGCCGTTCAAGGCGTTTGTTGATTGTTAAAGTTAACTTCACAAATAGTTGTTTATTTACTTTTTTGTTTGTTTGTTTATTTCTACTCATTGCAGGTTAATTATACACTAATAACGCGGCTGCAACACGAAACAAAAACAACCAGCAAGAAAAAACAAACTGCAACGATAATAGCATTTAGAGCACGAACACGAGCAACGGCGATAGCAACAACAATGGCATTTGAAGAAATAAACAACACCGCCACCGCCACCGCCGCTGATGCCGATGCCGGTAGCGCCTGAAAAGTGCAGCAGATGTAATAAATCAGCGACAACAACGGCAAAATGTTGACGGTAGTTTATCAACAGCAGCAACACAAACAACAACAACAACACATAGTTACAACAACAAAACTGCAAGACGAACGTGAACGACGACACTCGAAACAACCTAAGCACCGGCAACAAACCATCAAAGTGAATTCACGAACAAATGAGTGAACAAAAAAAAACAAGAAATAAGAAACTAAAACGAATTACAACAACAACAGCAGCATATTGAGAACACAAGTAGAAACATTTTGTAGTGAAGCTGCAATCAAGGAATACAGTAGCATTAGCAACAACAAATACAGCAGCAACAGAAGTGACAGCAGCAGCAGCAACATAAAAACGTGCAATCCCCACAGCTCGGACAGACAGACAGACAGACAGTCAAGAAATCGTGTTGCCACTGCAGCTCATGTTTTTTGCTGTTGTTGCATTATAAACACCATAATCAGTAGCGCTACAAAAGAGTAGGAAGCAGCAAGTATCTGGTTTTCTTCAAAGTGGACATTTAGAAGTTGGGCCAGGAACTCGTCCACCAGTCGGTTTGTCTAAAGTGTTTACATAAAAAAAGTCAGCTGTAAACTTCTTTTGAGAAGACAAAAAAAAAGCGTAAACAGCAAAGGAAATTACGCTACAGTGCTGTGAAATAGTAAACGTACGTGGTGACAGCAAAAAATTTGCACAGCCGGCGGATGCAAAAAAAAAAACACAGCACAGCAATTTACTTGAAAAACTGCCAACGTTATGCAACACAATTAAATTGTGCAGCGGAAAAAACGATCGATTACTGCAAAAACAAGCACAAAAACAACGCGTACAGGAGTGGCAATAAAACACTGTAATCTAGCGCTGGAACGCAGTTGTCACTACAAGTTGCCCGCAGCGCCGTTTTTTGTTGGTTGGACGGCAGCGCTGATTGAGTCTCCTACGGCGCGAAAGAACATAGAACGGCAGCGGAAAAAAACTTGGACTAGAAGAAGAGGCCGCCTATTGTCAACTGCAATAATTGCATAGCAAGAATTTTCGCATTTCTGGGTGTGTGAGGCGGCGACAAAAGGCATAGTTGCAAGTAGAATAGTTTAGAGTAGAGTTAGAGAAGCGTTGACAGAACAAAAAAAACGCTTAGCAGGAAGCGTGTTTTTATGGCCAAAGGAAAGCCGCCATAGCAACACAGAACGCGCATACATACACACTTACATATATACATAAGTATATCTAATAGATCTCGTAGCTGCATTTAGTTTTGCATTGCTGCAATTTGAGACAACAGAACGACATAGCGGGGCAGACATTCACTACGTAGAAGTATTCTGTTAAACGAAATACAAAACGACCAACCTGTGGCAGACAATAAACACACAGTACAAACGGCATTCATAGTTGTCCACAAAACACCCAGCAGCAGCGAGGCGTATAAAAATTGCAATTTGAATGCAATAGACAGTCGCCATTTTTCATAGCCACCGGCTGCTGCGCTAGAGCCTGGGAAAAACACTTCATTTAGAATTGCAATCGAGTGTGTTTTTTTTACATTTTCCCTCTATGGTTTCTTTTTTTTTGCTGTCGGTGAATTGCAAGTAGCAACAAAAATCCACTATTAAGCAACAAAACAAAAAAAACGCATTCAATTCACGGCGCGGCGACAAAAGTCAAAAGCATACCCGAAGCGTGACTGTAAAGTGTGGAAGCATTAGAGCAAAACGTCGGGCAGATCAGTTTGCTACAATAAGCAACAGCAACAGCAGCAGTGGTGCATGCATTAGCGCAGCAAACACCACAATTTGCCTAATGAAGCATTAGATAGTCGCATAGAGCAACTAAAAAGGCAATAAAAACAAAAGAAAAGCATTTTTGAAGCGAAGCGCGAGCAACAAACAGCCTCATCCACAATGGACAGCGCGGCACATACACCTTCGACACACACACCAACGGCAGCACAACGTCCCAGCGTGACTGCCAATGGCCTTGATTTGACTACGCTGCCGGCACCGGTAGCACCCGCGCGTCATGCGCGCCCAATGCCCGCACAACGCGCTGCCAGCGGCAACGCCAGCAGCACCTCATCCACAACCACCTCTTCACCACCACAATACAGCGAAGAAGTGCGACGCGCAAATATGCCCACTACCTTAGATTTGTTGCCGCGTCAGAGCAGCGTTTCGTCCACCAAGACGTGTGAGGTCGATTTAGGCGATGAGGAGCGCGACACTTTCTCGCCAGTCAGCAGTGCAACAAGCACAAGCACAAGCGTTGGCTGTGGCGATGGCGATGGCGACGCGGACGTCGACGGCTGTGGTGATGCCAGCAGCAGCAATCACAGTAATCCCAGCGATGGCGCGATCGTGCACGCTGCTGGCGGCTGCAATGATAGTGTTGGCAGTGGCGCAGCGACTCCGTACGACAACAAAGCCTTTGAAGGTGCGCATTTACCCGCAGCTGTACCGACGCCCACCGCGCGCTTGAAGGTGAGCAGCAATGGCGGCACAGGCGTTGCTTTAAGTGGCGCTTTGCATTCGCTCACTTCGAAGGAGGAGAAACAGCGGCAAAATGAGGAAATTGTGATTATGGAAACGTCGTCGATTTCTTCAGAGACTGGCTCATGGGAATCTGTGTTCCCACACGCTGCGAGCAGTATTGCGGCTGGCAGCGTAATGTCAACAGTCGCCGTAGCGACAGGCGTTCCCATTGCCAGCAGCAACAGCACCAACAGCACTGCGGCTGGGAGCAAGCCCTCGGAGGTTAATATGTCTAATTTAGCTACTGAATTCTTTCAGGGTGAAGGCAAGCTGTCGCAAATGCCATTTGAACAACCGAAAGAGCGTGACAAATGCGGCGCCGCTGATTTACAAGCGCATTTACTAAAAGAACCTGATATATCGCCCTACCTACGCGAGCGCACCTACTCTACAGGCGCGACTGTCACGGCCGACACCAGCTCACTCTTTACCGGCATTAGTACGCATTCGTTGTTGCGCGATTTGGAAAGGCGCGAGAATGCAATGAATTCGTCGGGGCATAGCGCTTGCTTCATTGATGCTTCATCGCTGCGTGACGAAGATGAAGTGCTCTCATTTCCCAGTTTGGATGGACAGCAATCGAACGAGGATGCTAAAGATGCTGAGGAGTGTGTAGAGGAGCCAAAGCCGGAAAGGGAGGAAGACGAAGATTCGCCTACCAAGAAACTTGAATCATTCCATAAAGCATTTGCCAAGTGCAAAGTGAAATCTAAAGATTTACCTGAGGCGGCAGAAACGTTTAACTTGTCAAAGTCAAGTTCTAGCTCAAATTCTGGTGCAGACTCACCGCACAAGCAAATGTCAGCCGCATCTGCCACGTCTACCAATAATCTTTCGGACGAGGAGAAACTGTGGAAACGCGAGCACGAAAGTCAGAAGGCACCACTAAATGCCGAAACCAAAGAACCCATTGGTAAACTCGCTCAACTTGTACCCCAACAAAACACTTCCACGCATGAGGATGCCACCGAAGCTTCGGTTTCCTTAGCCGCTGATGCCGACTCATCTGACTCATCGGAAATTGTTAAACTACGTCGTGAGCAGGAGCATAAGCAGCGTGGCCCATATATTTTCCAGCACAACTTGCAACAGTTCAGCATTCATCCATTGGCTGTGAGCCCGAAATTCCCAATGCACGGCTCGGCCGGCACCAGTGTGGCACATCCGACCGCAGTGCATGCCACGCACAGCGATCTTAGCTACACAACCGACTATTCATCGTCTAGTCCGGCGCCGAGCCTAGTTTGGTCCGAACATGAACATCGCCCTAGCCTTAGTAGTCGGCCTCACGTCGATGACTATGATGGACATCTGCATAAGACATTTGCTCACCCGGACACGCCGCACAACTCTATAGCCCACATAGAAAATGCATCCAGCAATAATTCTTCCATACATCGAGATTATACAATGTCATCTTCGTTGTCACAACAACGCGACTCTGGCGCATATTGCAGCGACGCCACAGACTCGCCCATACCAATGCCCCGCACGCCAAAACGTTCCAAGTTCGATGAAGCAAATCCGATCATATCGGGTGGTGCATCCATCAAAGACTTCGCGCCCAAGCAGTGCGAGAGCCCGCCCGTGCAGCGACGTTTGGAGTCCTGTCCCATCGTCTCTGGTGGTTTCGCGTCATTAGACTTTGAGCCAACACGTCCGCTGGGCGATGACGATGATGAGCAGGTTGAAATGCGTTCGCGACCGAAGACTCGTAAGCCCATACCCGGCATTGCGTCATGGGTTGTAGATATGAGTGATTGTCGCCCGGAGCGGCGTAAAAGTACCAGCTCCACTTCAAGCATGGAGGTGTCTGCAGGTAAATTTCGCGAACGCTCCGATTCCACAAGCTCACACAAAAGTGGTTGTGGATTTTATGTATCCCTGGAAGATGTGGATAAAAAGCCCTCTACCGATGATCTCAGTAAAAAACCAATGAAGCCGCAAATGAGCAAATCGTATACGGCACCAAAGGCGGCGGGCTTCTTTGTAAATCTCTCAAAAAGTGAATATGCGCCGGCCGATGAAGAGAAACATGCCGAAACGAAGACAGAAGAGCCGTCAGCAGATAAGAAAAATATTTTCAGTATGTTTATTGATATTGGTGAAAGTAAGAAGCCGGCGGGTGGCTTGCCTAGGAAAGAACCCTTTAGCTTAGCTCAACGACTCTCAAGCTCTTATGGCTCGCATGCCGCTCAGCGTCGCGCGGACGATGTGATGCGTTCGAGCGCCAGCTCTACAGAAACGCTGATGGCAAAGAGCAGCAGTTTGAAGGCGAATACGGACGGTGAGGTGTGTGGCGAAAGCAAATCACTGGACTATAAATGCAATCTCGATCCACCAATCACTGTGGCAGCCATACGACGCATCTCACATCAGCAGCGCGCACAAAACGATGCTATCAAGAGACATTCCTGGGGAAATAATCCTTCGAAGGAAGGTTTGGCATGCGACTACAAGCGTTCTATCAGCCTTACAGCGTACGGCGAGTCGAAGGAGAACGGCGGCAATGGTCTGATGAGTATTATAGATAAAATACCTTTGATCTCGAAGACATCTTCTTTGTCGGTCGACAGCTCCTTATCGCCTTTCGACGAATACACGGGTTCTAAATCGGAACTCAGCACCTGCTCAAACAACTCGGCGCGCAATTCGGTATCAGGCGGTGAACGGGATGATGAAGTTTTCCATGCCGGCGCAGGCGCTAATATCGGCGGAAGAGTAAAAAGACGACGCCGCGATGTACAAATCAATGAAACATTTGACAAAAGTAGTTTGGCTTCCATAACGGATGGTGTACTCTCGAAAGACATGTCACCTGCGTCCACCACTGACACCGATGACTTGACTTTCCAGCAAGATGAAGAACAAGCCATGCGTGAGGCCGCCTCACAGCAGCAACCGCAGCAATTGCAACAAGTTCCCTCAAATCGCTCGTCAGCTATTATAATGGAAACCATAATTGAGACCAAAGAGACGTCTTCGCCTAAGAAAAATGCCGCTGGCCATACAATGGAGAGTCTACATGCCACTATAGAGAAACAGAAAATGCTACTCGAAACAGTAAATGAACACGGTGAAGTGGAGAAGGGTACATTCGTTAAGCTGTCTGACATGGACAAGCCGACAAAGTTCGAACTGCATTCGCCCGAGTCGATGAGCAAGAGTGTCGGCAATCATCGCCAAATCAATCGGCTCTTCCGCGACGACTCGAAAACGCGCCCCCATTCATGGACCATGACACGCTCGCAAGGCAACAGCTTCCTCAGCATAACCAATTCAGTAGAGAATTTGCGCAGCTTGTCGCGGCTTTTCCCCAACTTCTCGAAGGAATTCTCCAACTCGCTGCCGAATGACATCATCTGTGATCAAATGGACTATATACAGACCGATATTAGCGGCGATTCCAGTCTTGCATCGTCGTTCAGTCGTTCCGGCATGGATGAATCGTCCATATCTTGTCGGCAACCGCGTAGACTGGGCGAGGATTTGTTGAAAATGTTCCTGCAAGAGATTGCCACCGACATGATTGTAGAGGTGCATGGACGCCGCATCAAGGCGCACAAGTGTATTCTACGCTCGCGTTGTCAGTATTTTGCAGCTATGTTGGCTGGTAGTGGTGCGCAGAGTGTCGTCTCATTGCAAGGTTACTCCTATTCGGCGGTACATTTTGCATTGTGTCACATCTACTCGGGTGCCTCGCATCCACCAGACGGCATTAGTTTGATGGAACTGGCAGCGTTGGCTGATCTGCTCGGCTTGGAGGGCTTGAAGGAGGTGACGGCGCATGCGTTGAAGACGAATTATTGTCACAATTTTCACAAGCCATGCTCGGGTTGTATCGATGGCATACTGCAGGTGTTGCCTGTGGCATTGACTCACTCGCTGGATGATTTGTATCGCAAATGTTTGCGTTGGACTTGCCGCCACTACATGAAGGTTTGGCCAACTCGTCAATTTGCTCAGCTTCCAGCGGATATACTGGGGCGCTGTCGCCAGCAAATTGTTGCCTATATGGTAAGTTTATTGGAGATTCTTTTACGAATTTCATTTATTATTGGAAACTACTTTAAGTTGTCTGTTGTAGTAGATTGAGTTTACATGCCAATAAGATCGGAAGGACTCGCATGGTCCTCAGCCTAATTGTCATATATCCCATAAGACTATGGGAAAACTCATCGTAGCATAGTCGTAGTTAGAGATGCGCGGTAGAGAGCGCGCGGCACCCATGGTACTGATTTCAAAATGGCCGGGATGCGCGGTATCGAGAAGGTCTTCAAAAATTTTGCGTGCGCGACGAGAATAAAATCCTTTCCCGACACTCCCGATAAAGCCCGCCACCTCCACAAATTCAGATAATCTTCCTTAAAAACATTTTATGAAACAATCACTTTTTTATGTTTTATTGACACGAAAAGGAAAAGCAAGGCAAACAATAAAATAACCGGAAGATGCCAGATTTTTTATTATTTAAAATAAATTTGAAAGAAATCTGCCTTATCCTGAGTTTCGCCTGAAAAAAATTCACCTGAAAATTTGTCATCCGGCCATAGTAAAACCATGGAAACAAAAATTGAAAAGTAAACCGGTTTTTGGAAGATTAAACTCATGATAAGGCTGGATGTGAATTATGTATTCTTAGTGATTGATTTTGGACCCACGGGACCAGCGCTATAATTCTTAAAAACGTCCGGATGGGCGGGCTCGGGACTTAAAAATTTAATTTCGGGATGGGCGGGAACGGGATTGAAATTTTTGTGCCGTGCCCATCTCTAGTCGCAGTTCCAAGAGCATTGCATAACTAGAAAATGTACAACATCATTTAAATAAAATCTTTCAGAGATCTTCCAGGGGAACTGAGATCAGTTTGGCAATGTTCATAGCGCCAACCAAGGGATTGGAAAAGTAGCTACCCAAGTGAGCTCATAACATCGAAGGAAATTCGCCCAGATATGAGTAGGGACCTAGTCTCCAGTTATTTCAAATAGTCCTACCTAGCCTAGCTCCACTCTCTCTAAGACTCAATACCCGGTTGGACCCTGTTATGAGTCCTCAGTCCATTTTTACTCAGGTTTTTTCTATCACCGAATGATGCCTACTATTAATTGTCCTATGAAAACCTTTGGCATTATATCTTAGATCAAAACCATATCTGTCCATATAAATTTTCTTGGACTTTCTTTTACTCATGAACTTACCTCAGTTAAAGAGGTGTGTCTTCGATTTTCTTTGAATGAGATCAATACGAAAGCATGTTTCAATCTGGCTTCCCTTCCTTTATCCTCGATTTCAAAGCCTTTGGTAATCTTTCTGTCGCCTAAGTTAAACTGAAGGCTTAATATGGAGCACCAGATGAATAATGTGCTTATGGTGGTTACTAATCCTGTAGAAATAATGGAATTGCATTCAAACTTTGTAGACTGATTGCACCACGCGGTAATTAGTCCAATTTCTTGCTTTGATCTGATGGAAAATTGTGGAAGTTAGCTCCATCGATCCGTTTTTTGCTGACTCACAACTATGCAGAGGGGGTAATTGATGATTACCTTTGGTTACAGTGCCTACCCACCATTTTCGTCAGATAGAATTGAGATCCCACGCAAGACAATAGTGTACACAAGCTTTGTTTGAGGGAAGTAGTCGCCCAGAATGCTGCAAATTTGTTTGGAGGGTAGCACGAAACGCCGGTACCACAATGAAAAGTGAAGGCAGAGGACCATTAAAACCAATACATACTCTATGATCGTACTATTCCCAAATTTCTACACAATGCCAATTTTCCTAAGCCGCTGGGCCAATTCGAGTCATAAGCTCGCTCGCCCATCGATCAACCAACGAGCCGAAAATTCAAAAATCATTTTAGCGTTTAATTTGATTTAATTTACGAAACCTTGAGCTATTTTTTAATTTGCGAATTTGTGTTTTGCTATTAAATTTAATGCAATTTAATCAATTTCGCAGAAACTCTTATCTTATCGCTTGCAGCGTTTAGATTAAGTGTTGTTACATACGTTCTGGGCTTGATGTGATGATAAAACTGTTCAGCCGAAATACGCAATCGTCGCCGAAACTGTGTGCGATAAACAAACAATTGTATTGCATTGTTTGAGTTCTCCCACCGATCTTATCTTGGTCTGCGATCAGTGATCGCTAGTACCAACAATTATGAGTTATGTAGTGGCACGGCGAAGAGGTGCTGCATTTTCCTTATCATCATGTTAACCTATTCAATAAATGTTCGCTAAATGTATCTCCCAATTTGCCAAATAAATGAAACACAATTCTTTATCTTACCCTACAGACGTCGGAGAGCGTGTTGGACACAGTGCTCGACTGTGATAATTTGCTGACGCAGTTGGCAACCTACCGCTGGGGTGGTATTTGTGAGAGCCTCGTACGAGACATACTTGATGCCGCCTACACCTACATTGCCGATCACTTTGCCAGCCTCATAGCGAGCGACTCATTCCTCTCGCTCGGTCACGATCGCAGCTGTCACATACCGCGACTGGAGAGCGTACTCTTGCGCACAGCATCATCGCTCACACCAGATCAGGCATGTCGCAGTTATCAGCGTGTGACACGCCTCAATACCGTGTTGCAGGCGAAAGTCATACAAATGCCGGCTAATCTGGGTGAGCTGGCAAAGGAGTTGCAGGGCTTGCAGGAGGAGGACTTGGATTGGGATGCCGAGTATATACGTTTGGTGAGCGCCATACTGTCCGCCGTCGAGCAGTGTCTTATACGGCAGTGTTCGCGCGCCATGCGCGTGACTGCTTGGCAGCGCATGGATCTCGATTTGCGTAAAAAGATACAAACATTGGCGCGTCT